GTCACAAGGCATATCGATTTCAGTAGGCTGGAAAATCCATTCGAGCCGGGGCGTTGCTGCTCAATTTTGGGGGTTTATCTTATAATGACGTGTACTTCACATCCAATTCAGAGCTTTTAATGATGCAATCTTTCATTCTCATGAGTTATGATACAGCTGAAATTCAATACTTAACAATTAGGATGATGTCACTTTATTGTGGTGTGAGCGTCATGAGTGTTGGCAGCAACTTGCAGGCTGACTGTAAGAGTATCTGTACTGTAGGCCCACTGTTCATTATTTACATATACGACTTGGGCACAACAGGTCAATTTTCAACTGTATTGTTAGCTGTACATAATGATGAAATGATACATATTTAATTTTTTAACCGTAAGAAACAAATAGTGGCATGTAAGTTTATTAAGGGAAGATTGTAACGGCACACAACCACGCTGTTTCAATTTGGTTTACAATGAAATAAAAGACGGACAGTTTAATATATCTGTGAAGAGTGAGTTAATTAAATAATCCATTTAATTACTATTAATTTCAATTACATCCTCACCCTTGTCTGCATTAAAATGACATGTTTGACAAGCTTTTATCCTCTTATTTGTTCAGCCTCTCACAAAAGGTGGTTTTTCAAAGAAACTCTCAACGTTTCTTTGAAAAACCACCTAATGGTCCCTACTTTAATAGAGATGAATGTATCTTTTGAAAGGATATTTCCAGCTTTGAAAAAAACCACTCAGGTGGTAAGTGCCTCTTAAGAAAACTCCAGGGGATAAGGGCTCCTGTCATTTTTCCAGAGAAACCATGAAAACCCGTTTCATGAGTTTGGCCTCCAAAACTCTTTGGGATGTTTTCCATATACCATCATTTCTAATTTACTGCAGCAAGGTTTTGTATTTCGGAGTACAGCATGTAATAATAATAACTACCCACAAATCTGTCTAAGTTGAAATGTGATGAATAGCTGAAATGCATAAAGTACCCACATGCATAGTGTGGAATAAAATAAATGATATCTGTGGCTTCCAATCATCCAACCAGGTAGGAAAGTCGGATAGGGAAGATAAGTTGATATAACATGAGATAATGTTGTGTTGGTGAAGATTAAATCAGGAAGAAGGAAAACATGGAAACATTCCTCTTTTCTACCTGATCTGACCTTTGAGACAAATCTGACTCCTCGTTGCTGCTTTGACTCTGATGAAACGCAGCAGATGTGAAGTTGTTTACTGAGAAAAAAACAAGGATGACATTAATTACTGTCAGGCCACAGTGAAGGGTTCCCTCGCAGTATCAGGAAGCCTTATTGTCACTTGAAATTGTGCACACACTTTGTAGCTTCAACCTAAAACACGTGTTGTCCTTAGGCAATTCAGGATTTCCCTACCTGTCTGCACACATCTTCCATGTTGTCTTTTCATTGGTCAGAGAGTGTCTGGGGTGTTTCTGTTGTTGTTTTGTTTAAAATGTCAGGCTGATACAAATCAAATCTCTGGTCCACCACAGCTAAAACATATGCACTGGTACTATATGCTACATCTACGCTATGCTACGTCTGACTGTATCGCATTAAAAACTGCTAAATGTCAGACTTGATACGTTCAGAATCATAATCATTAACATATTGTTTTTTGGCAATCTGTAATTATTTTCCTCACTGTTTCATAATTGCCATTATTATCTTGTCAATCAGAGTGAATGTCATATTAAGTGTATGGCCAAATTATGCATGGACAGATATTGGAACACATAATCGAAGAAAATTACAGAAATGTCTTTAATAATAGCAGGATGAAAGCACCATTTATAGCATGTGTAGGGATTTCTGATGTAATATCTTCATCTATAGGCTACCTCAAGTGTTGATGGAGTTTTGACCTGTATACAATTGCAGTTCTGTTACTGTCAATCTGATTTGGGTAAATTGTTAAGAGTTTCCTCTAGAAACGACAATCGAGCAGAGTAGAAGAAAGTGTTTCTTACAATTAAACTGACATGACTGCTTGAATTATGATTGAAAGGTTGAGTGTTGAATCTGGACGTTTTTAAACGGTTGATACTTTTTGCTTTCAGTCAGAGCAAGTCAAGTCAAGCAGCTATCCTGATGTATAATGGGCCCCGTTAGAGCTGTTTCCCTTTGTCTCGAGACAAAGGGAAACAGCACGAACATACCGACGCAACCGTGGTATCTATCTTCTCATTTAACTCTCCGCCATTACCCCAAATGTCATATTATTCCTTTCAAAGGAAAATTTGAATTGCCATTTCTACCGTGGGCTGTCAGCAACTGCTTTTTGTTTCCTTGGCAATTTTATCCGTACTGCTGAACACGAATGGTGCACTGAAAGCTGTTCTTTTAATCTTCCTTCCTGAGAGAAGCGTTTTTGCTATCGGACTCCCATCCTAACCTGTGAATTTACCCAGAGCCACGTCAGTCACTCTGCCTCAGTGCCTCCGCTCCAAACACCACGCTGTCTGAGATATTGAATTTATTCAACTTATTCTGCGTTTGATGGCCGATAATGTGATTGCACATTTAGTTGATTCAATTTGGCATGCTTGAGAACAGGCCATGCAGGGCTGTTGACAGACTATCAGGCCGTAGTGACGGGGGATCTCTCAGAGATGTGTGCGCGTGCGTAAGCTGAGAGGGTCTTCTTCATATTACATGCGGATGTAGTATGGTAGATTGGGTTGCTTCCACCCACAGTGTGTGTGCCCAGGGGACTCTGCTCTGCTTGAGAAGCACGATAACACGACCTCTCAAACACAGCTAATGAGCTCTAACAACCTGACTGATGAGGCTCGGACATTAACCCAATCAATGACTCTGGTCTCTCGCCTCTTGTCTCTCTTCTACATTAGTAAATTATGGTAATTTATCTGAGGAAACGTTTGTGTGTAAGTTGTGCCATGCTTTCAGCGACCGAGACTAACAAATTTGTGCCAAACATTTGTTCTGAGGGGAGAATAAATCTGCTGGCCGAGTGGCAATGTTTCCAACATTGTTTGCTGATTGGCACAGTCACTACGACTGTGGCTCAGAAGATCGGCGGTTCGATCCCTGCCTCTTCCAGTCCATGTCGATGGCAGGACACTTAACCCCAAATTGCTCCTGAAGGCTTTGCCGTTGGTGTGTGATTGAGTGTGAATGATTAGTTGGTTCAAAGTGGCACTTTGTATGGTAGCTTCTGCAATCAGTGTGTGAATGGGAGAATGACATGGAGTGTTAAAGCGCTTTGAGTTTTCACAAGACTAGAAAGGCGCTAGACAAGTCCATTTACCATCACGGTATGTACTGTCTGCATTAGATTGTTTGTTTATCGGTCCAATTTGGATAAATAGATATCATCAATCATCTTTTTAGGGAAACTCGACACACATTAACGTACTCAAGGACGTATTTATTTATTTATTTATATAGATATATATGTATACAAATAAATGGTTATATTTATTGATTTTCCTACTGTGAGTTTACAATAAGTCAAGAGGTTAAGTAAATGTTATAATGTACACGCTGGGGTACCCTTAGAGACGATGTTTGCATGAGCTGCTCCAGACACCGACAGTGACCACGCTCGCTGTCTGTGTGTCATAAATGGGCGCTGCTTGGCGAGGTTGATTCATACAACAGTAAAAGAGGCTGCATGGAGTTGAAAGGGAAAGTAAGCAAAGATAAGCACCTAAAGTATGTAATAGTTTTCTGTGATTGTTTCCAAACAGCCAGTAGAAAATAATTGTTTACTTAAAGGACTTGTATTCACTTTGTGCTCTCTGTGACAGATTGAGAAATACCTTTTTACCAATTTAGACACCAGAAATAATCTGAGAGCCCTGATATTACCTGCATGAATATAGCTTATAATATACGGTATGTAAATTAGTTGAAGTACGTTTCAAACCAAAACACTGTAGTATTTGCGTGCGCTGCATTAAGACATATAGAATGTAAGTAGCTTCATGACATGATGAGACATAATGGATGTTAAATATTTATCCACAAAACCTCTGTGTACTGTGCGCCTCCAGCGGTGCCACGCTAAGATCCTGCTAAAGTGATGACTGCACGGGAGCCACGCGGTCGCCCTGAAAGCCTGTCAGGGAGAATCGGGACACAAGCCCAGTTCACAGGCCTCGGGGAGAAAACATAAACACTACATTCTTTGACCCTTATACTTTATGTAGTGCAGAGAAAAGATGCCGTTTCCACCACTGGAACTTCTCACTCCCCAAGGACAATAATGGATGCTGCTCAACAACATCCTGTATTCAATGTATCCCGTGGTTTGCAGAAACGTAGAATGCCTACTTTTTTTTTTTTTCTTCTTCTGGCGACTGGCCTGGACATAGTCAAGCAATTGGCTTGTTGGACAGAGCCTGGCTAGCTGCTGGAAGCAAGGGAGACAACGGGAAACAGCTCTTGCATACCGACGCAACCGCGGAATCTATCTTCTCATTTAACTCCCCGCCATTAAGCAAATTCGTCTAAAGCCGTCTAGCCTCTGCAGCTAACATCACCAACAGGCCAAGAAAGCCGATCGGCACACGCTTTCTCTTCTTTTATTTAAACATTATGCATGTGCACCAATAGAAAAGACACAGTCAAGTTAAAATACTCTTTCACATACATTGTAATTTATTCTTTTACCATTTGGACAAATATAAAAGCAGACACAATATATGATGAACAGCAAACACAAGTCAGTTTTTACTGATTAGTTCCTCATAGCGAATGTACTGTTTTAAGAGAAAATAAAGGGCAGCATTGTGATCTGGGCTCCTATAGAATACATTCAGACCGAACCACTTTGGTCCAGAAAGGGGAGTGACCCAAGCTGCTGGCTTCAAAAACATACATAGTGATGGTCACAGCTTAAAATACATGTATTAGTTTGAAATACAATTAGCAATATACTTTGATCATACATACATATATATATATATATATATATATATATATATATATATATACTGAATACAATTTCACTCAAGGTGCACAACATTCCTTTGTTTCTGTGTCAGTATCCGAGCATTTCTCCCGCCCTGGAAAACGAGAAAAACACTGTAAATTCACCCTCGGGCAACAGCAGCATCATGCTCCCAGCTCAGTTCTGAGTGTTGGACTGCTCTATTACAATCCTCCGCAGACGTTGATGAAAAATAGCCTCTTTTTTTTTTTTTTTAACAGACTCAACGCCTGCACCTGGCTGAAGTGTAAATGCACAGAGCTGTTATCTGGATGACAAACATGCTGCTGTCGTGCTCTAATTTAGCTGTGAAACTACAAAATGACACCGAGAGTCGCTTCCATGATAAAATGTCCTCCTTATGCCTCTATATAGGCATGACTTCTGGGAATGTCATGTGGTGCCATACTGTATATGCTAGAGTGGGACTGATAACCACCTCTGTGCTGTGTGAACCCAGTTGTACTGGTTCATATCATCAGCAGCCGACGATTCATCCAACATCCACAAATCTGGAATACTGAAGCCACACCCATTCATACTCACCTGAAAAAATATACACATAGGCAAATACAATATTGACAGCAATCAAATAAATCACCTGTTTAACACACACATATATACATATATATACACACACACAGAGTTTACCAATTATAAATTAACGTTGTGCAAATAGTCATACATACACGGTCAAGTTGAGTTAGTTCTGGCAAAAGGTTTAGCAACTCAAATATTAACATTCTGTAGGAGACGTCCTTTCTTTAAAAATCAATGCAACATATTCAGAAGCAAATGTACCGCTGCTAATTTTGGCTTTCTTTGTCATTAGAGGTTTTGTTCTGCTTTCAGGGGACAGAGTTTTGTTCTAAGTGTCAGACGGGATTAGTCTGAATATTAAACACTGTACTGGATGCATCACTGACACAGGCTTTCTGATTTTCTGGCGTGTGCACAATGTAAATACTGATGGGATGGCACTGCTTAAACCTATATTTAGACTTTTAAAAAAACACCTTTGCGCCAGAGTTGACATGTTGCTTTGAGTCACAGTGTTTGATTCATACTTTATGCATGTGTGGCTTTACAGGTCATGTCTATTAGCTGGGTATTTTTTTATCCTTTCTCCTGTCAGCTGTCATCTCAATTGTTGAGTGGGCTACTGTGTAGAGCTTCATATAGTACGCCAGGGTGTGTGAGTCGGACAACATCTTGATAGCAAGGGGGAAAGGAAAACACATGTAATGGCACAGAACTGCAACTGTTCCCCTTGAAAACACACCTGGCACATAAACACAGTCACAACTGTAGACTCGGCAGTATCCAAGGTATAAAAAACACACATTGTCTTATTGTAAAACACCTAGTCAAACGATGATCATTTTAAGCTATTCATAATTCAACCTTTCTCTTTACCTGCTTGAGCAGCACTGTGGTCACCTTACTGTACGAGCTACAGCCAGCAGAACGTTTCTTCTTTTCTGTACATTTTCATCAAAGTCAGTATAGACAAGAAATCATTTACAGATACAGGAGCAAAGGAAATAGAAAAGCCTCTGTTCCCTACCATCTACGTAGTTTTGGTCTTTTTTTTTTGTGTAGGCAGTTCAATATCCAGTTTGTCTTAAACCTCCAGTACCGCAAAAACACACATTTGATACACAGCACAAAGTAAAGTAGAGGCTCAAGCAATGACCCTGTTTTTTTTTGTTGTTGTCGTCTTGTTTTGTTGCAATTTGAGGTTTGAGGTTTTTCTTTTTTTTTTAATTATTATTTTGCATGGCTGATCTGCCTTGAGATGCTGCATTGTTCAACATGCAGCAGTTCCTTTCGCAGTCCGACAAACATCTACAGGAATCCATTCACGAGGCTCACATCACATTACACTTCTCAGCGTGGGAGTCTGCCGTATTATTCTCCGTTCTCAGGCTGTGGAGAGGGCCGAGTGCTACTTGGCCTTCAGGTGACATTGGCCTCTGGACTAAGACCGCTTTGACGGATGAGTCAGCCCAGCTCTTCACAACCACCCAGGGCAGTATGTCAGAGCCAGATGAGAGCTCAAGGCCCTCCAACATTCCTCCTCATCATGTTCTTGTTCACAGCTCCTCTCAAAGGTGGCTCTCCACGTTCTCTCTCTGACCCTCGTAACACTGCACCTTGTCCGTAAGGCTGATGTCCTCCAGTAGTGTGCAGCTGCTGATGGTTCCCTCGTGAATGGGTGAGGTGCACCGACTTGCCCCCTTACTGCTGACCCCACCGTTGTGGCATCCAGCCACAAGCATGTGCGTCTCCTCGGGGCTGCAGACCGGGGACGAGGTTTTGGCGATGTCCGGGAGATGAGGCAGTCGGGAGACGTGGTTCAACAGGCTAGCTGTCTTGGTGTTGGGGGTATTGCTGTAGGTGTGGCGGTACTCCTCCTCGATGTTCCTCCCTAGCTTCCAGCGCTTCCACTTCTTCAGGATCTCTGACTGCACCTGAGGAGAGGATGGAGACAAAAGCGGATGTTATTAATGCGATAACGGGGGAAGTCATTTTTTCTTTTTGTCACAGAAATGAGGAGACTCACTTCTTTGTTGACGAAGCAGTACAAGATGGCCACCAAGAGACCCTGTGGAGACAAAACAATGTGAGTGAATATTGTAGCGGTCATGAGTTAATGAGGAACTAACTCAGTATTGGTTGACAATCCAATGTGTTGGTGTGCATCAATGCTTGCACCTTTTTTTTTTTTTTGGTTAAATGGGGCAGTTGCAAATTTGTTGCTTTATGACAAAACTACGGAGTGCAATCACATGCATATCACAGTATCTCCTGTTGTCTTTGAAGACAAACTTTGTCTTATGGTCTCTCGCTGTTTCTTTTTTAATCAAGGTGTTTCCCTTGTCTATATTTGACACACGTCTTCTGTGTCCCCGTATCGAAAAGGTCACTGTCACTGTGTCGCTGTGTGCCACAGCCATGTAGCAGCACAGACATTATGTTAATGTCAATCCTCCTGACACATGAGTGAATACAGCACTTCTCAGTTGTCTGGGGAAAGGCAAACCCAGACATGAAGCAACATCTGTATCGCTGAAAACAACTCATCTGAAATGACACTGAGACAAGATGAAAGCATGAATTTTTACTGTTCATTTGGTGTTGAATGAATTATGAGATTTGTATTTGATTAGGAGATAAATGTAATCTTCAGCTGCAGCTGTCGTCTAATTAATCTTGTTAAGATTGATTCAAGCTGGAGAACAATGGCCGTGCTTTGAACTTCCTGTTTTACCATGTCTTACCCCTTTATCTCACATCTCTCCCCAGAACACATTGTTGCTTCTTCTTTTATTTTTTGACTCGGTGCAGAAAGGAAATTATTAACCATCAAATGCCTCATCAATGTCTCAACTCTCACTCGAAACCCCTGATCTAAGATGACTGTTGACGCTGAATTCTTTCATGAATGGGGTGGTTGTTGTGAAAATTACAATAGAGGCGTTGGTTCAAGTCTAACCTGGAAGGAGGAGAAGAAGAGGTCGCTGAAGAGCTTGGTGAGACGCAGTCCGATGGTGGCCTTTGTGGACTCGTCCGTGACAAAGATGAAGACCACCTGATGGATGCCCAGCAGAGGGATCAGGGTTAGAGTCGACTTAGCCAACCTGAGATGGACGGGGATGAGACACAAAAAGAGAGGGAGGACAGAATAAGTGGAGAGAACTTTCTAATGTATAGAGCAAACAATAAATAAAATGTTTTGACGTTTGAACTCACCTGAATTTGTAATCTGTGTATCTCATTTGGTGCGCTCGAAGTTTTGACACAAGAATTTTGATGATGTGGATAAAGATGAGGAAGTTGATCTGTAAAAGACGAAGACATTTATAGTGTTTATAGTAACTGTTTAATTGCATGATAAAGGTTTTATGTGCAAAGGTTTTGACTGCTTTGTTGCTCAAAGCATTGAAAAATCACACTTGAAAAATTCAACAGCGATACGTTTCTCCAGAAACGAAGCATAATCCGCATACTACCACATACTGTACATGCAAAAAAGTATTTCCAATGAGAACTATCCAAACTTTTTGCAGGTAAAACCACAACTATCTGCAAGGATAAATCACAAAAAAACACGTTTTTCACTTTCCACTATTGGTATTAGAGTTCGGTGATATCAAGGAACCCTTTCATAGCAGCTGACATTTCAAGAACGGCAGGAGTTCCTCTAATGAAAATCACTCATTTTGTGACCTTTACAATTAAGATGTTATTGGTAATTTGCAGATGCCCGAACAAAGGAAGTAAAAGGACATAATGCACATACAGTACAGTCATATGTCCAGACATGTTGTGATTATTATAAACAGTTTTTGTTCAGTAAAGATGATATAAACTCAAAATAAGACAAATACGTACCACTTTGCAAGTTTCATGATAGATGGTACGCATGCTGTTGATTTAACCACTATATATACTTTATATGCATACACTGCAATGCGTACAGTATCTAACTTGTCAAACGCCGTCGCATGGTCAGTGGATCTCAGCTTCATCTACGTATCCTCTCCAGCGTACGTGGACGTGTCAGGGAGGGCATGTCAGTTTGCACTAGTTACATGCACAGCGTCTTTTCAAAATAAACTGACGTCTTTTCAGGGAGTTAGGTTGAGGCAACAAAACCCCTTAGGCTCAGAAAAAGAGCGTGGTTGATGTGATCTTGACTGACTAATGACTCGCATCACTACAGAGTGACGAACGACTCATGTAACTAACGAGTGATGTGTCAACGTGTACTTTTGGTTTCATCTGGGATCTCCTGGACCAAAGTCCTGTGCTTGTTTGACCCACCCCTCCAAACCGCCTCACAATAACAAAATCACATGTTCTTGCAGAGGCATACACGTGAGTGTAGTTTTCTACCGATGTGCACCTTGAACATGGTGGGATCAGGGTAAAGAGGGAAACACTGGAATGGGAAGCAGCCCTCCCGTCCCTGCGACAACTCAAACACAGGAATTCCTGTGAGATACAGGCCACTTAGCAGGAAGATTAATGCATGGAAAATGCCGGGATGTCTGTGTAACTGGGCTGACGTTAGAGCAAAGACAAATCTGACTTATATAAAAGTTAAGAACGGACCTTTGCAGAGCACACCTTCAATAAAGGCCTGGTCACGGTATGGAAAGGGGTTAGCTACACTAGCAAAAATGTAATTTCCTTAATCCAAAAACATTTGTCTCGTAAGATGTTTTCCAGATGTTTGGCCTAAAAAGCATAGACAGCCTTTTACATTTCATGAATAAATGAAGTGTTAAATATTGAATAGTGTATGAATGGAAAAAGTGGAAATGGTGGAGTGGTAAATATGAAGGATTTTAGAGTGTATGCACTTTTTTTGTCAATGCAAAAATGAATAAACAACTTATGTGGCACTTTGGATTAAAATGTTTAGGAAACGGCATATCATAAGGAAAAAGGAGGGAACGTAATGGTTAAAGAAAAGCTGCAACAGAGTGAGAGCAAGGAAGGGGAAATTACCACAACAGCCAGCAGTATCGGGGAACGGATGATCCACCAGTAATTCATGTTTATATTTTGCCCCCAGCACCTGAAAAGGAAAATCACAAAGGAAAGATCAGTGTAGGAAACCAGAAACACCTCACATGCTGTCAAACATGGCTCACTCTGAAACACATGTCACTACACTGTTTTACAACTCAGAAAGCTGCTGATGAAATGTGACGGCCCCATAATGGGATTTTAAAATTTTACGTAGCATCACGCTGTGTCGGCGGTTTAGAAAGTGCAGCTTTAAGATCCCTTTCGCCCCCATTTGCTGCTTAAGAGTGCACTCCAGATCCTAAGTGTGGGTACATGAAATATTAAAAACACGCCAACACTGCTGTTCTGACACAAAAAGTGCTTCTGTGAAAAGTTTAGGTGCAGCCAACTCCTTGTGTGGTAATTCAGCGTTAAATTGGCCGCAAGCTGGTGAGTATCAACAATCATATGTTTAAGAGAAAGAACACCTGCCAGATTTCTTTTCAGATATGAGGTTCTGTCAACACATGTAAGCTAAAATGTCAAATGTTTGGCAATGTCCGACAGCAGCTACAGATGGAAGACGTGAGTGAATAGAGAGAGAGAGGGAGCGTTGTGGAAACTTACTCTTGATTTTCATAAAGGTGTTTAGCTATCATCCAGGGCACGAGGAATATTAATGGGGTGCCTGTAAAGAAATGAGAGCCGTCTAAATGCAAAGCAGTCATTTTGTCCACCAGCGTTTTCAGCCTTTTACATTCAATCACACATTTTAATTCATCTGCTCTCATTTCATTTCCTTTCATGCAAAAAGTACCACTTCAGCACATAACGCATAACTTTGCACGTCCCCTTAACCGCCAGCTCACCCCAGCCAATGCACAGGTAGATTTTGAAGTAGTTCCTCTCTGTAAACACGGTGATGACCAGCAGGTTGTGGAGGTAGATGCCTTCCACCAGCAGCCAGTAGCTGTTGGCCATGATGCTGTACTGCATCATCACCATGGCGATGCGACAGTTAACCGCTGTCTGCAAGACAGCAGCGAGGTTCATTTCCACAAGCGAATAAAATACATCAAGCGGTCTGATGATGAACATTTTTGAGGAAGAGTGATGTGAATGGTGAGATCAGTGCTGCAGCAGATGGGAGCCCCTTCTGCCGCCAGGACTCAGACTTTGTGCCGACAGCCATGAGATTGTACAGCAGCAGCCACTTCAGCCAGCTGTGACCCCCGAACACTAACTGGACTCTTATACAGGTCATAATTATGGCTGCACATATCCAGGCCATGTTGGACCTTATGTAGTGTTATTATGTACATTATTTATAGGGTACACAGTGGCTACATCAAGTCATCAGCGTAAAAATGCATGCTTTGAGGAAGACCTTGGCCCAGATACGGAATAAAGTATTTAAAACATAAATTTGCAGCATTGTGCAGCTTTGAGAGCTTTATGGTTTTGCTCTGTTTGGCATGGTCCCGAATTCGTAGGCACCGTATGAGAATGACTGGAGTGAGAAGGGAGGGTAAATTATTATGCTTCAGTTTTTAAACTTGCAAAACTCTCCCCATAATATCTCAAGTACATTTGGTGTCATGCACTGAGTTCCAAATCACATGCTTTTTCTTTTTTCTTTCAGTACATACCTGCAGCTTACCTTATAAAGTATGTACTGTTGCATGCAGTATGCATTCAGTTGAGACAAACCACTTTGTCACAACATTGCAACTTTGACCTTCTTGCTCATATGTCTGCTGTGCAGAGGATTGTGGGTCAGAATGGCCAGAAAACCCAACTTGCTTGCATACTGCAAAATGTGACCGAATGCAGTGGTACATTCTCGTCTTTTTGGCAAACTGTGTTTGACCTACTATGTATAGAGACACACTAAAACTTTTTCTGGCATACTCTATACTATTGGAATGCACAAACTGTCTTTCTATTTAGTTTAGTCTGTTTTCTGTTTTACTTTGAAAGTTCACTCCTCATCTGTGGTGTTTGGATTTACATCCTGTCGTCTTTGTGAGTTTTCCGCCCTGATCAGTTTAACTTGTTCCTCATTGGTCCTGCTTTCACCTCACCTTCTGCTCAGCTGAGCTCACTTCCCTTGTTAATGTCACTATACCACCTCAGTTCCTTTTGTTCTTTGTCGGGTTGTCTTTCGTTGCTGTACGGGGTTTTCCTTTGCCTGCACTTGCCAGCTTTACTTACCTGCCTGTGTGAATCGGGAAGCTTTTTTGGGCTATTTAAATATCATCACTGAGTCTGTCAGTCTCTGCATTCTGGGCCTCCCCTGCCTGTCCTGCCCCCTGCACCGTGACATTTGGAGTGTTAAAAAATCTCAACTCTCCCAAAAAAAGACTCATACCCTCCCCTTTGCAAAAATAAAGACAAAGTACATAAGTCTGTAAAACACTCTCCTTTATGACAACTGACCTCATTGTTGACCAGCAGCTCCACTGGAGGCATAGATGCCCGTGGGAATCCCTGCTCCTGGTCACTGCTGAGGTCCTGCGACGTGACGTTGGCCTCCATCAGAGCGTCTTTGATGAGGATAGACAGCGCTCGCAGGATGAAGGAGGCAAACAGATTCATGTGGATGTTGTTCCTCATGCAGTGCAGTTTCCTGATGAATGAGAGGCTTTAATGCTTTCACCCTAATCATTCCAAGATCAACTAAATTACAATGCAGCTTTCCATTTAAAGTAATACTTTGAGATTTAGGGATATATGGTCATTTACTTTCTCACCCTGTGTTGGATGAGGATTTCAAATATAAATCTACAGCCAGCAGCTGGTTAGCTTAGCCTACCACAACGACTGGATACAGGGAAACAACAGCACCTTCAAAGCTGACCAATTGTTGCATCTTGTTTGTTTCACACAGCGTGAAAATTTTCACCAGGTGTTTTGTGTCGAGACTATTTCTTGGCTGAGAGCTGTTACTAGGGAACCAGCAGAGATTCCAGGAAGTGTCGGAGCCAAGAAATAGTAAATAGCAAATGCAATCTTACACTTTGATACAAGGTGTTGCTTGGTGAGCTTTAGAGGTGATGGTAGGTAGATTTTGTTAGCTTTGGAGAGAGCCAGGCTAGTGTAAGCTAAGCTAACCGATTGCTGGCTGAATCCTTGTGTTTAATAGACAAACATGTCAATCATATCATCCAACTCTCCACCACAGAGCTAAGAAGTGCATTTCCCAAGATTTCTACCTACTCCTTTAAATGTAATTGTTCCACTCCCTGTTGTGTTTGATGCAGATCAACTATATCTAATTATTTCCTGATATTTTACTCCATTTCTTAGAAATTAGTCCAACCAAAAATCCTTATTACCTGAAAAATATGAGGATGCCAAGCGCCAACACCAAAGCCACCAGTGATAAGGAATAGCCCACAGTGTACATGATCCGAATATGGCCATAGTACTGCTGCAAATTAAAACGCAGACGAACACATAGACTTTTGTTTCCTTTATTTGAGAGGGGAAGTTTCAGTTTTAACAGTAACATTGCACCTAATATTTGATCTTTAAAAAAGTTATTAGTATGTCTAATGCAAGAGAGATATTTCTTACCAGACTTGGATCATTAGAGTCACACTCGCTGGTATTCTTCATTGTCACCCACTGGCCGTTTGCATCACACTCCTGATACACCATGCCGTGTTGAACTGAGCACAAACACAGACAGACACAGCTTCAAGTCAAGTCCAGTCATCACCGACAGCTGTCTTTCTCTGCAGGATATTTCAAAGTACTCTGCAGCAACACGACAGTACAGCGTGTATCCGCTGACCCTCGTGTCTCTTACCTTCATGGTGCCACGGCAAATACCAAGGACACGACACACTGACGGTGGTGTTGGGGAGTCCATCGGGCCAACAGGCGTAATTGTCAAATTCCCTGTTGCACACGACGCCTGGGAATAAAAACAAACAAACATGAAATATGGGTAATTCTTTTCATACAATCGCAGCCCTTACACACTATGTCTGTGTCTGTGGTCTAGAGAGGTCTAAGTCGTGGAATAACGTCTCTGAAGTGATGGCTTCTGGTGGCCAACATCTGTACACATCTTGGTCTTTTCATCTTGACTTAAGAGTGAAGTCCTCCATCAATGACCTTCTGCTTTAACACACCTTTCATCTTCTCAACGCAGGATGTAAACAGTACCGGCTGTTAGTGAATAGAAAGGTGGACGATCAGCTCCTGCTATACTTCGCTGTCACACTCATGGGGTGACAGGACCAGTGTATGAGTGCCACGGATATGTGATTTCATGTGAAGTGTGGGAAGCAGCCTTTTTGAATGTTGGAGCATCACTGTTCTCCATCTCTATTCCACAAGCTCACAGACTATAATGCAACTGAAGGGCATGTAGTTAAACGCTGTTGATGGAGTGAGCTGGAGCCAGAAAGCAGAGAGTGTGGTGCGGCAAATAGAAAACTGGGAGCCGCTGCAAGCAGAGTGATTATTCAATGGTTTGAGCAGGGAGTGTAAATTGCCGCCGCTCCGTCCGGTGACACCGCAACCTAACCATTACCAGCTCTACTGCATTAGATAGTTTACACTGCATCGCAAGGTGATGGTAAATGCTGTTTATATATAAAAAATGAAATGTCTTTCGTATTTACCTTCTCAGAAATGTTGTCAGAGCACCAAAGACGATTAAGGAATCGTAGTTTATCATTATGTTGCACTTTGTTTCGTCTCTGGATAAGAACCTTAATACCTACAATTATTATTGAGTGCTGATGGGGTGCCAGTGTCGTTAAAGCAACAATTACATTTTTACTCACATGAAAGTTGTCACTCATATTGACAACCCCACTGACAATTATTTGACCTAAGACAGTCTCCATCAAAACTAAAAAGTAGAGTAAATGTTGGACTTTAATTCATCAGGTGGCCAGACACGCCACTCCAAATGAATGTTTATGAATTGCTCCAAATCTGCTGGATGTGTAAATAGACAACTGTAGGCTATAAAGTTTGCCACATCAACTGTAGAATATGATAATATGCCAGTATTGTGTTTACGGCTTGTTTCTGCAGACCCCAAGTAATCAGTTGTTGCAGGTTTAAACATTAAAAATGAGTTACAGTATTTTTAGCTCACCGGTGCTTGGCGGCTCGCGGCTGTTGTTGCGATCACACTCCTCCATGTACAACTTCCAACTCTCCTTCAGCTTATCCAGAGACGCAGCAGGAGACACCTAAGGAAACGGTGGTGCACACCCAACAAAACAGTCACACGAGGAAGGCCTGTTATTCTGTATTGATGTAGTGTGAGGCAATTGGGCAAGAAACGGGCCGAGAATGTGGGCTCCAAACAAACCATGAAGACAAAGCAGGTACATTAAATGAATTGGCATTCATTTGTTTCACTTCACTGCATATAGTATACCGTAGCTGTAAACAACCCATTCTCAAGGCACTGTCCCACTCTAATGTGTTGTCTGCATGGGGGGTCTTGTGCTCCTGTATGGACGGGCTGATCTACACACTGTAATACTCATGTGATTAAAATCAACAAGGACAGACAGTTTGTTTAGGCTTCCACACCACGACTCTAAAGAAACAACACCCACCCCCACACTGTAAAGGCCAATGACTAATGGCAGTTCACAGACTTATGTGGATGCTGTTTACTTCTGGAATAAATCTGTATGTGTGTGTGTGCGTATGCGTGCGCGCTCTCGGGACTTACCTCAATGCTGCAGGAGACAATCAGCATTGCCGAGAAAAGGAACAGTCGTGACATCCCTTATTCCTGCTGTTGGTGCTGGGAGGGGATACTGCAGGACGGGGAAGGGTTTTCACCTCATAAGGGGGCTTATCTACGCTTGCCACACTGCCTGGATGACACAGAGACACACAATCCATCAAAGCTCATTGCAAACACACCACTCATTAGCTCGGCTCAACTTGGCCGCGAGAAACAAGAGGACCAAAACAGGAAAAGGTTGGGTCAGAATTACAATAATCAAGCCACGGTTAGCAAAGTGGACTAATCGGAACGAGACATGTCCAGAACATCAACCACGTGGCAAAAATGCTGTTTGTCCCATCAATAAGACAGCTGTGGCTCAGCAGAGCTGCACCCATGCAGGAAATCACAGTCGGCTGCTGTCCGCCTTCATCTTAAAGCCTGTCAGTGTTTGATCGAGCGTGTGTCAGCTTGTGCCAGAGGTCACTCACCTGTGTATCGATTGACGCCTCAAACTCCCCCGAGAGATTTTGTTTGAAGCCGGAGAACAGAACGAAATCTGAAACGTTTCTGCAAAAAACACCTTGACCATGGAAACATTTTTGGCTAAAACGTTTCAAATTCCATTCTGTTCTAGTCTCGTGGCAGCGAGGAGGGGGGCTCATGTTGATGTGTTTGTCATTTATTTTTACCGGGGGTGTGTTTGCTCAAGTGATAAGAGCACAATGCGTCATGACAGACGGACAGTACGTAATGGATGTGCTCAAGAAAGCCTCAGTTCGAATCAGAGAGTCTTTTAGTCTGCCTTTTGACTGAATGTCAACAAGCAGCTGAAGTCTGGATTGAACGAGCCACTGAGAGCTTCCAGTCACAATGTAAATGTCCCCCCTATATATTACAAAGCTCTACTGGGAGTCAGACTTTAGATAATATCTAAATCAAAGAGCCATGCTTTCTAAATGGCCTGTTCAATATAATGACCACAGGATGCAGTTAGCATTAGCTGTAGTCCAGACTGACTGATTGCCCCGGGCGCCTGAGGGGTCAGAGCTACTCTTGTCTGGTCTGACATCAGGTCAGCACCCGTCCAGCTGAGATCACAGCACTGTCTCTCCTGCCCTTAACGCCATCAGACATGTTGAAGTCACAGCAACAGTTTCAAATGTTATTACACTTAATGTACTGAGTGTTACAGCAACACGAGTGGCTTGAACCAAAGACGCATCTCTGGTATGAGATGTCGGCTTTGATTAAAAAACTCCAGGATCCGCTACGGCTCATTAGGAAGTAAAGGCACATCTTCTTCATTATTTACACTAATGGCATGAAAAGAAAAACTATGTCAAACCCCACCAGACCGGGCATTATGCTCTGCTAAACCAAACATCTCTACTGTAAGAGTGAGTTCTTATAGTGCATGATATGTAAGCATGTGTTGAGGGTACAGTAGAGAGGTTGGCACACATGTGGGTGAGCACATGCTGCTGCTGCTTACGGCACGAGTGTTATGCCAGTGTGTGACGGTTTTCAATGGGTTGCCCCTCCTCTCTCCCTCTCGCTCTCGCTCTCTCTCTCTATTCACACAAACACATCTAGAAGCTTATTTACGAAACCACCAGTCCACCTGCACCACTTTCTGCAACGTAGCACCAAGTAGGAGCAATGATTAACCAAACTCAGTCCTGCAGGAGGGCTGACGAAAGAGAGACAGAGAGAGGTTATGTCAAAGTAAGAGAGCAAGGCAGAGAAAAAAGAAAACTGTGCCCATTTTTATGTCCTTAAACTCGAAACACTGACCATTACACATTGGTGAAGGTCCCACATACGTTTGTTTTCATATGAAAACAATATCTCTTAAAGTGAAGCATGTGCTACAATTAGGTGACTAACTGTTAACGCCACACTGAAGACCCCTCTCTGTTTTATCTTACTCCTTGGCCTTTACACCAAAGGTCTTTCTCTTACCATCCTACAAATGTTCACGTCTCACATAACAAATGTGGACGTTTTCTGCTTTGACTCATTCATGTATTCGCATATTTTCAGATGCCCCAAAGCAAAACACAAAATTAGGCTTTCCTTAAAGTCTTGCTAAAAGAAAACAACAAAAAGCCAGAACATGAGAGCAATTTTAAAGATACACCCTGAGGACTTATGCTCGTAAGTCTCTCGTGCATTATTTGTGCAGATTTGTCACATACATGTCAGCTTGGATGCATTTGATGCACGATGATGGGAAGCACGTCACCCATTTGGTGGGAGCTGGAGCAATCGGTCTGATGGCGATTTAGCCTTGGGGTGGGGGGGGGACTATATTTCTGGGGTTCCTGTGTACACTTCCGCCAGCCATTGTTTACAGTCGGATTAGCAACTTGAGACGCAAGACTGGAGTTGCGAGATGACGTCTACGACCGGATTGTTTCATAAGTAGCCAATTAGCCGTGGTAATAAAAAGCTATATTGTCGTCAGACAATAGCTGATGGGGTTGATGAGATTACATTTCGGCCTCTTTTGCTCTCCACATGGACCGTTTAACTGCACGCAACCAAAATCCGCTCAAACGTTATTGATCCTCTGAGAGCCAGACTACAAGTGGAAACTAGAGCGCTTGTGATACCAAAATTTTGCAATATGCAGAATCTTTTTTATAGCGATTAGAGTTGGAGTGGAACTAATGGGCTTGAAGGTGTGAGGCTAGTTAAGCTCGTATATCCTGCGGTTATGATATCCTGCGAGAGCTAAGCCTCTGGGCTCCCACTAAGCTGTGAATCGCTTGGCCCGCTATGGATCCAGACTAATGGAGGTCCAGAACATGTGTTGTTTAGCAACGCTAGCTGTCTGTTCCAGGAAATAACCTGGAGCTCTTATCGCTATTGTTGCACATCTGATTTAAGAGGTGGCAGAGCCAGAGGGACCTGTCAGGCAGTTTGGACCTGTTTCTTTTGAGTCACCAAGCCAAAATGTTTCACCTCTGCTTGGGGATATGTAAAAAATTACGTAATGCTCTTTTTTTCCCCAGGCAATTTTAACTGAAATAAGAAATGCTATTTGTTCGAATAATGCCTCGTCATTTATTTCTATTTGAGTAAATAAATACACTGACGATCTCAAATGAATGACGCAAATTCCCTGAATGTCCCAAACAACATAGAAACTGCTCTTCGTTCAAGTGCATGTTGGATGGCTCAATACAATGGCCACTAACAATTACTGTTGTTTGTTCAAGAGTACTTACCTTTCATTTGATTACGCTGTCTAACAAATAAAATTACAAAAGGAGAGGATGCGTGCATGATTGCAGGTTGAGGGGGGAGCAGCAAGGATTAAAAACAAACCTCTCGGAAAACACAATAACTGTCCGGTTCACAAAATGTCCCCAAGCAACAATCTACCATGCAGCTTTCCTAATGCAGAGGTGCTAGCGACAGTGAGGGGGAAATCACCCATCTTACACAACTTTCCTTGCCTTGAATGAGGCCTTGGTGCATTTTTTTATCACAACATTCACTAATGTAGCTTTGTTTCTGAAATATCCCACGGACACATCAACCGAGAAGATGCAGCACAACTCCAAAGTCGCTTTGTGTATTCTTCCCGTGCTTTGACTAAATAAGCCGCTCATACCTTAGGGCTACAGATGTTACACTGGGCAGAAACCGTGCTGAATGAGAGCCTCACTATCTGATAATAGGGTGAAGGAGAGTTCAGTGGAGACCGAGCATCATGCTGTTACATGTTCTGCAACTTGGCTGCTGCAGAGAAGACGGAGCACCACTTCAAGTGAATAGCACTCTTATCCGTTTCTGAGTAAACTTCAGCTATTTGACGGTAAAACTGCTGGTATGTGTGTTTTCTATGCAGTAGCTGAGTTAAAGATAATGTTCTGTGCAGAAAACTAACTTCGGTCTTCACACAGTCCTGGTCTCTTTTTTTCTGTGAGCTGTTGCGCAACCATTAACACATCATAGATCACATCTAAATGGATAAACTGTTTTGTTTGTTTTTTCGCCTGGCCTGTCTACATTTACGTCAGTAAGGGATTTCCAACATTCCCCACATATTATTTTGAAAAACCCCAGAGAACTATAGCCTGTTGTTGCATGTACAGAATGGAGCCAGATTTTTAATCTGATTTCAGATATATTTTATATTTTCAATGAATTGGGCACCCATTCTGAGCAGATATACAAGATACATTGCCAATAGCAGTTTTCAGAAAGTGTCAAAGTGTTTTTCTGGAGGACACGACCAAGGGAAAGTTACACACCAGATCACTGTCTCAACAGGAAATTCATCCAGACGAAAGCTTCCTGTTGATGTTCTACTTATTACCAAAAGACACATCAGCAAATAACAAATACAAGTGGATCAGTGGTTTGATTTGCAGTGACAGCATCACACCAAATATGTTACCAAAAACCCCCAAAAGAATCTCAGTTCTCCTAGGAAGCTTTTTGTAGCCAAATGTCCGTCAGCTGTAAATATAACAATTACAATAAATAAAGAGGAAGCTTTCCCTCAGCTGCTTATTAAACTATATTATTATTTTTTCTGAAGTGCGTGCTAGTATCAATGTCTTAAACTTGCACAAACACTGAGAGCAGCCGCCTTCTGCGTCATCCCAACACATATTGTGTCCTCTATGCAAAGGGTTTCTCCAAGTGTGACTCGTGAATATCTGTGATTCTATTTGAACTGAGAAAAAAAACTGCTACTTTGATTGATCTTCGATTCTGAGGAACTGCTGCCAAGAGGCAGTTTACTGTTGATGTTTTTGATTGCTGAAAGGCTGTGCATCCTAGCTGTGCTAGGGCCCGAGCTGCTCTTACATGAATGCATTTTAGACATGTGCTCAAACGTCAACGGGACATTGTACTTCACTGAATGTGTAGGTGGAGTGTGTCAGCACTCCACACTTACATCAACGAGTTTTGTTGAAGAATCAACATTTCTCACTCGACTATGCAAATAGTCATTAGATGTGCTTAAAATGTGCTTTGTGTTTACAGAGAAAAAATATATATATATACAGACAGAATAATTGTATTGCACAAATACAGTGAATCACTAATTGTTAATAGTAAGACACAGTAGTAACACGAGTATCTGATTGTTCATCATCTGTCTCAGCTTCCAACGACGTTTTATTGAGAGAAAAACAAACAGTACTTATTCTCTAATAAAGGGTCTTTTCATTGACCAACACCTAAACCTTTTTCATTATTAAACATGGACTGGAGTAAGACGTTATTGTGTCTTTCTCATGCAAAAGCACGACAGGAACGATAGTGTGTGCGAGATACGGAAGAGGTAGCGTTAAGCCTAACAGCACACATGGTTTCAGCTGCGTTGTGTGGCTAACCTCTGAACTGCTCAAAACGTTCGTCACTGACCCCGTTACATTGTGAAGCAACAGAGTGCAACTCGTCTGCGTCGCATCGC